AATCTTGAATATTATATATTATATTTGGGCCTAAACTCTCTTTTATAAATATAAGTAAGTAAAGTATAAGTATATAAGTAAAGTATATAGAATAGAATATAATAGAAAATAGAATAGAATAGAATATATATATATTCTATATTATTTTAAAAGGGAGTTTATGCCCAAGTTCTACAATATAATAAATATAATATATAATTTTGAAGAAACTTCCTTTTAAAAGTCCCACAAGTATAATATATAATATTCAAGATTGGGACTTTTCCCAATCTTGAATATTATATATTATATTTATTATATTGTAGAACTTGGGCATAACTACCTTTAAAATAATATAGAATATATATATATTCTATATTATTTTAAAGGTAGTTATGCCCAAGTTCTACAATATAATAAATATAATATATAATATTCAAGATTGGGACTTTTCCCAATTTTGAATATTATATATTATACTTGTGGGACTTTTAAAATGAAGTTTCTTGAATATTATATATTATATCTGGGCCTAAACTCTCTTTTATAAATATAAGTAAGTAAAGTATAAGTATATAAGTAAAGTATATAGAATAGAATATAATAGAAAATAGAATAGAATAGAATATATATATATTCTATATTATTTTAAAAGGGAGTTTATGCCCAAGTTCTACAATATAATAAATATAATATATAATTTTGTAAGAAACTTCCTTTTAAAAGTCCCACAAGTATAATATATAATATTCAAGATTGGGACTTTTCCCAATTTTGAATATTATATATTATACTTGTGGGACTTTTAAAATGAAGTTTCTTGAATATTATATATTATATCTGGGCCTAAACTCTCTTTTATAATATAGTATAATAATAATATAATATAAATAAATAGATAGATATAGATATAGATATAGATAGATATAGAATAGAATATATCTTATAATCATATCAGAATTAACATCTCAAACCCTTAATTATGAGTTCGACCAGCTGTTGGGAGTCCTCATTATTATTAACATAATGCTACATAAAAAGAAAAAAGAAAACAAACTAGTACATACGAGTTGTGGCAATCTAGCTATAACAAAGAAATTCCACCATACATCGATTGCTAAACATAGATAAAGTAAATTAATTAGTAGTAAATAATTAGATAAATTATGAGCTTATAGAATCTTGGCTCTATCAATCATCTAGCTTCCTCCTGCCACCATCTCATTTGTTGCCACGGGCCTTCATCCCATCTACAAAAAAACAAAAAAAACAAGAACCAATTGCTAGATTCTTTAGTTTCTTGGTTTTTAAAAGAACAAATATCAAGTTGTGAACTTTTACTACCATCTTATTTACTCCTAGCCTTCATTAAATTGATATTGTTCGAATTTCGAGTGTCAAATTTCTTATTTTAACCGTGCACTTAGGGAAACAATTTTAAAGATTTTTTGAAAAATAATTTACATATTTAACATTATAATTATGTCACAAGAATTAACAATTTTAAATCACTGTTTTCCCTCTGAAAAATAATTAGAGGCTATTTTCATATGAACATTTTGGATTGAATCAATGAGAAAATAAAAAAAAGTAATGTTTTCATATGGAAAAAAAATAGGTAGTTTGATTTCCACTATTTAATTCATTGATAGTTTGTTTCCATCATACATTATTTCCAGTGATTTGATTCGATGAAAAAAATTATGTTCTACCGCACAAATTTCCCACTTTTGATAACGTTACCTGCCTTTTTGCCATTTATAACGTGTACATCTAGGTATGATACTACTACATCAAAATCCGTTCCTCTTCATTTACCAAAATAGCTAGTAATATGAATTACTATCATGAAGTGTGTGCTAAATTTGGTAAAAAGGGAAAATGTAAGTAATTAATGTTACCAAAATTAGATGGTGTGGAAGTAGAAGTAGGAAGTTCCATGAGTTCACTGAGCTGAGAATACATATGATTGATGAACTTTATGGACTCCAAATGAGGTTCCTCCATTGCCTCTTTTAGCTTGCTTAGAGCCACACAATATGCTTCCTGTCCACACCATTGATTAGCTTTTTACACAAAATTAAAGCTACATGTATTCCTAAAACATAGAATTATATAGAATAGTAACAACTATTTTAAACACAATTAGGTCACATTAATTAACTAGTCATCTAAGAGATAATGGATGGGGAAATCATGTTAATAACACAAGTTTTCATTGATTCGTGGAAGGAAAAACCTTTGTTTCTAGTTGTGTCTGGACCTCTAAAAATCACACTACATATACAAGGTCAATTTATTTTTATGTATATACTATAAATGTTGAACCCTCTCTTTTGATGAAAATCCTGGTTCTGTCACTACCGTCCATAAAATGGGATTATAAAGCAAAAAAAGAAAGAAATAAACTTATTATTACCATGAAGTTGTCCAGTTCAGCTGGTTGGTCCATTGTGAGTGAGCTGAACTTATTGTTCAATTCTGCTTGATGAACCATTGTGTGTGAGATAACTTTCTTATATTTTGATGACTTTTCTTCAGTTTTTTGATCAATTTTGTCAATCTCAGTGATCCCCAAACAAACCTGCTAATTAATTATAACACAGTACACCAAAATTATATATACATGAATTACTGGTAATTAATGAATTTCCAACTTGAATAACTTCTAACTCAACTAACAATTATTATCACAGAAATTCACTCTCTTTTCTAAAGAAAATTAGAAAATCAAGAAGCAATACGACTTTAGTACTTTACTAATTGAGTAACCATCCGAGAAAATAATCATGAACCCTAATTTCTTGATGAATAATTGATGTGAAAATAAGAAAATACCTTCAAACAATCCAAGTGAGTCTGAACCAAAAGACCATACAAAGAGTGACAACATATTTTCCTCTTAATTTCTTCATCTTCAAGAGAATCTAGTACTCCTGATCTAGAACTACAGTAGTAGTCATTTTTTTCCTCATCTCCATCTTTAAAATTATCACTTTTTGTCTCCATGTCTAATTATGTAGAAAAAGTAATAATGGGTGTATAGCTGAATAGTTGTAGTTTTATATATAGGGAAAAAGTAGGGTTACTTGAAATGACTAGTAATAGGAAATGAAAATGGAAAGCAAATGATAAATAAAGTTGGAAATATTTGGAAGGAAGTGATTGACCCATGCATGCATGACCTATTATATCAGTCAGAAGGCAAATACACTATACAGTATACACTCATATCATAATAGAGAGAGAGAGAGAATATGACTTTTTTTACCTGCTTCATATTTTTATCTCTTTTTTGCATACTTGAAAGCAACATTACATAAGCTTCTTGGATTCTGGACACCATTTGATAGTACCTTGGTACAATTACTCTGTGATGAGTCACTTCTTGCTTTTGTTTTCCATCTTAACAGTACCCACCAGGCCCCTCTCTTTACTAAAATGATACCAGTACGTACAGAATCAACATTTCTACATCAGAAAATATTACTCCTACTTACTGTTTTTTTGCTTATTATATTTATATATACAAATATAGGATAGCATGAGTTAAAGTTATTTAGTTTTGCTTAGATAGTGGTGGGGGGGGACGGACGGTATGAGTTCAGCCGAATTTAATAGTTTTAGTTTAGATGACTATGTAATTGTATTATGAAAAACTTTACTATATATAAAAGATTAAGTTATCCTAAAATTTAGAATTCATAAAGTTTGACTTTTTGACTCCTCTGATGATAACAAAGGCTCTGCATTATTAGTACTAGATATAGTAGTCCTCTATGTCAATTTGTTCGTCTGATTTTGATTTGACATGGAGCTTAAGAAAGTAAAATGGACTTTGAAATTTTGTGGTTTAAAACTAAAAATATGCAGGATGTAGCAATTATCTTGTAGTCTTTATATGAACATGTAATGTGGAAAATTATAATTAAAGAGTTACCAAAATTAGAAGGAGGGATAACCCGAAAAGCCCTTATACCTCGTTCAAACGTCAACCTCACTATTCTACTCATGATTTTGTCAATTAAACACTTAAACTTTATGAGATTGAACTTTTTAAACCCTTTTCTCAATCAATTAGTGTGCGTGTAATAAACCAACTACACTCGTACACCTCTTCCCCCTCTCATCTCCTCAAGAAAAAAAAATCACCCTCTAATATGATTTTCTGGCAAGACAAAAAGTAATCATAATTTCAAATAAAAACGTAGCATAAACGACCAAACAGCTACTAGCGACAACCTCATAATTAGAGCAATTCTTAAATAAATATTTTTATATACCCCCGTTCATTTTTTAAAAAAATCTATTATTTTTTTTTGTGTATATTTCTATTTTTGTGGAGAAAATGTAATTTACGAGAAGAGGGCTTTGGGGGTGTCTTTAGTGTCGTTGTGAATTTTTAGTGATTGTGTTCAATTTTTATTGAGAAAAGATGGGAATTTGAGAAGAACTTTTCGATAGAAATGGTGGTGCTCATGGCGGAGGTAGAGGCGATAGGTTACACTATCAATGTATAAAAATTTATATAATTGGAATATGTTACTCGTCTGTCCCAATTTAGGTGACTTGTCCCAATTTAGGTGACTTGCTTTCATTTTTAGTCCGTCTAAAAAAGAATGACATATTTTTATATTAAATAACAATTTAACTATAAAATGTCTATTTTACTCTTAATAAAATGATTTATAGCCACATAAATTTTCATCATTCATTTTGGATCACTAGTTATACAAGTCTTCATTTGTTTCTTAAATTCCGTGTCAAATCAAACTATATCATATAAAATGAGACAGAGAAAGTAGTACATTTTTTATCTTATTCTTACAAATTTCAAAAATACCCAAATAGCAATTGTCTTTTTGTTTAGTGATGATAACCTGACTAGCTTGAAGGGTATGTGTGAGAGAGATAAATCCAAATTGGTTACTGTATAAAAATGTTCTTTTCCAAAAATGTGTCTTTGTCAAAAATGTCACCATCTCTATTTATTTATGGAGTATTATTATTGTTGTTAGGGTCTGATATGAAGACAAGTTATGTTGAGATTAATTATAATAGATAAATTATGTTAAAACTATTTTATTTGGTTATTTGGTTTGTCAATGGTATAATTTCTAAGAATAAGTTGTTTGTTTATAAAATTACTCGCTAATAATAAGTTGTTTGTTTATGAGGGTTTAAGGAGTACTTTTATTATTTTATATTTTTATTCCCGATAAATTATCCCAGGATTAATATTCCACCCACAAGAAGGGATAACTTATCCTAGTCATGAAATATGTTATCCCACACTTTGTAACCAAAACAAACAATTGAAGAGCACTAAACACTTATCTGAAAATTATTTTTCTTTAGCCATCACACCAAACGATCTTCACTATTATTATTATTATGAAAAGAATGCTGTTGTTATCACTGTTCATTGGTTCACGGACTCTTGCAGTCTCAATGGGCTCTCCAAATTCAATTGTGCTCTTCCACATGTGTTTTTCACCTTCTATAGTCACTCTTTTTCCTTCCTCTTTTAACTTCGAATATTGGCGGAGTATAAATTATTCTTCAATATTGACAAACAAATATTAAACTTCATCAAATTTTGATTCATCTACTTTCCCAACAATCTATATTGACAAACAGTCCTGGTGTGGGGTTGGAAACACTTCTAAATTCGGCACATATTATTAATTAGTTTCTTAAATTGACAATCTTAAAAACATTACCTTACTTGATAACTGAACTTATATACACCACCGATATTCTTGCAATACACCACTAAATTTATGTCAAGTTTAGGGGTGTTTTCAACCATTCTCTCGATCTTTTTATTAAGAGTCTCATGCTTCTACAAGAGTTTGAGACCACTTGCTATGTCATGTGGCAAATTCGGATGTATCTAAGGTTTACTTCGTCAAGTAAAAAAATGTTTTAAAGCCGTGGATCAATAATTTTGGGATAAAACTGATAATTTGTGATAAATTTAAATATGTTTTTAATACTTTAAAAAAAAAGTTATTATTTTCTTTTAGAAAAAAGTGTATCAGTGATGGCAGTTCGTACGTAAGATTTGTTAGATTCGAATGTCCATTAGACACATCTGATTAAAGCTTCTCATGACGTTTGTCTCCAGGAATTTTGCCAAAAGCTTAGATACTAGTAGTTGTTATTTTTTTAAAAATTGCTTCATAAGTTAGGAACATTCATTTTTGACTTCTTTTTTTTTTTATACTTTGTGCGTCTTAAAAAAAACTTTTTGTGTTACACAAACACTTTTAAAAATGAAAAATAGCTTAGCTGCCAAAAAATATTAAAAATAAATCAATCTAAACACGCACTAATACGCTTTACTTTGAGCCAAAATTAAAGAAGTTGGTGATAAAATTGTAATTTGACAAAACCTATAATCTACACGAAGCGGGACCTGGTGAGGTTCCACTATTGGATGACAAATTTAGCAGATGCCACAGGTACACATTCCACATAGCTACAGATATAAGAGTACCAACTAAAATGTCGTTTGGTAGATTTATAACTTATCATAATTAATATATGATAAATTATGATATTAGTATTATATATAAATATAGATAAGCAAGACTAAGGACAAAACAATTTTTAATATACTAAATTAAACAATGGATAAAAAAATAGGAAAATTATGTGGTTAAGCAAACATAAACTACTTAATTAGTCATTAAAGCTATAGTTTGCTATAATTACCACTCGCGACTAACATTAACCATTAATTACGTGGGATGACTTCGAGTTTGTATAATAAACCACGTTTGTATAATTCGCAACTAACAATTATTTGTTTGATTTGTATTTGTATATGATGGTTTGTATTTGTATATGACGATAATTTCCTTTGGTTTTTCAGTTTTATCACCATATACATTCAATCCTTTTGTGTATAACTTCTTAAAGTTTGTATAAACGTATAGTTTTCGGATTTTATATAATATAATTTGTATAATATATGTGTATAACTATTTAAAGTTCATATGTTTATGCTTGTATCAATTCGTTATTTCGAGTTTTATCATATTTGTATAATTCCAGAGTTGAAATTACTCAATTATACAAAAACACACGAATTATATAAACGTACCCACGAATTATACAAATGTACCCGTGAATTATACAAACAAGATGCGAATTATACAAATTATTGTCCTCTCTCTCTCGCCTCTCTCCTCCCTCGCTCCCAATCTCGCTCGCCAAATATACAAATGCATATGTATACCAGTTACATATACACAATTATCTAACCAATATATATATATATATATATACGATTCACCTCTTTCCCACTCTCTGCCCTCTCTCGCTCGCCTCTCTTCTCCCTCTCCCAATCTTGCTCGCCACTCTCCTCCCTATAACATGTAGCTACGAATAATAATTAGCAAACTATAGCTATGTAGCGTAATTAAACTATTTTTGAGTGGCTATATGCGAAAGTTCCCTAAAAAATATTCTCATAATTACTAATACACTATATTTAGCTAGCGTTTGGCCATAAATTTCTAAATATTCTTGACAAATATTATTTGGGTGATAATTTGGGTGAAATTTCACCATGTGTTTGGCCATAGTATTTGGGAAATATATTTCACTTTTTTAGAAAAATATGATTTATACCCATAAGTTTTAAAAACTATCAAAACTAACCATAAGTTTGTATTACAAGCCAATTAAATCTTTGTTGCAACAATAACAAATAGTGTACATGACACTAGAGCAATGTGGTAGTTTGGAGTGAGTGCAACAAGCATCATTCCATACATCGTGAAGTAGACAAAGCACATGATTTTGTTACCCTGAGCCGATTGTTCATCATTTTCATCAACAACCATATCATCATTTAATATTCATTAAATATTTCATCACTACTTTGGTGTTCACATGAAAAATTATGTAATACGACACAAACAACTACTATAGAGGGTGTTTTTGTAAAAGATAAAAGTTTGGGGTAAAATTTCAATTTTCAAAAGATCCCAAATAATGAGATTTGACCCAAATACTAGAAAAAACTAGTATTTGGGAATTTGGGATATTTGCCAAAAATATTTGCCAAATAATGACAAATTGTATGGACAAACACTATTTGCCAATTTTTTCCCCAAATATTATT